ACTGTAAGCTATGTACCCCTATGAAACCTCTACTAACCTACCAGACTATGTGCTCTATACTCTAACTAATATTTTGAAGAGCATGCCCCAGATGATGGGATCACAGGAATTTTCCCACTAGTCATGGAGTCAAGCAAGTTGCAACTCAGTGACCAGTGGGAAAGTTCATGTGATCCCATCATCTTGTCCACATCTTCTACCTCAAATATGTGTATATCTCTTCAGTTAACCACTTTGGCATGGTACTCCTATTAATATTTGAGCCAGTATCTCAACCTTCAGAGGATTTGAAAAATGATGAGATCACAAGAATGTTCCCACCGGTCATGGAGTCAAGCAAGTTGCGACTCGGTGACCAGTGGGAAAGTTCACGTGATCCCATCAATTTTGAAGCAACCTCTTGTATTGAAAGATTAGGTATAGGTATGGCTAATCCCCATGGTGGGCTCATAGTATTAGGGTATAGGAGCTCAGATCAGCTATGATCATAGTGAAAGGTTGAGAACTGCACTTGCAATTGTGAGTTTTCTAGTATGAGGCTAGAGGAGGAGCAGATAGATACTGTGTAACATCTGCTAAATGGATTGCCTAGATCTTTGAACTGCATAATTCTGTATATATACAGAAAAGAATCTGATACCAACAAAAGCTGTATCTAGCTTTCCCACGGTACACCATGCATTGTCTGCTATTTCAGCTTTCTATCCCATAGGAGGTGCCTGTACTGAACAGTCATCACTACAGCTATTGCAAGCAGATCTCATATTGCTATACTCAATATGCACCCACTTTACATAGTTCTCATGATATATTATATGTACTGTGAGTGACATCTAAATAAATATAATTAAAAAGAATACCGTATTGCAACCAGAGCAGCTAATATATTATACCACATATAGTAGATCTCTACTGAGTGTAGCTATGCTATCTGTCTGCCATAGCTGTAGTGATGACTGTTCAGTACAGGCACCTCCTATGGGATAGAAAGCTGAAATAGCAGACAATGCATGGTGTACCGTGGGAAAGCTAGATACAGCTTTTGTTGGTATCAGATTCTTTTCTGTA